AGCTATCTAAGCCCGCATACAAATAACATTTTGTGCATGCAGTTCAGCGGCCTTGCACAATTTAATGAATGCGCATTGGAATCCTATAACTCAATCACATCCGGCCAAGCGACTACGGTGATATGCTTTGACACTTGCTAGATCTTTCCGAATGCCTGCAATTCCAAGAAATAAAATGATAGCCTACACATCCATGCATTTATCTTTGTGCACACCACCTAACACACAATTTCTTCGGTATCATTTCAAGTGAATATTCAACAACATACATAGTAGTGTGGTCATATATGTAGTGCTCCAATAAGCAGTCGGTATGTGCCTGGAAATGTCGCTCAAAATTTAATGATGGTATAAGTTCGGGTGGTTGATGCCTGAATCAATTCTCTAGGATTTCTCACAGTACAATTTTTTCTAAAGTGTGAATGTTAGGGATACAGTTCATTAGCCTTGGTACAAGTTAATGTGAATATATGTCACATGTCACACAGTCCATGAATGTATGAAAACCTATATAACTATGCAATTGTCCCTACAAACTATTATGTGTTTGCCCCCACATTCAGGTGCATCATCTTACGCTAACTTCTCCAAATTCAGCCCCGTGTCATCTCATGGTAATTACTTTCTTGCTACACACCATGCCGAAAAAGCAGCTCCGGATCATCCAGTTTTTGAGTGGCCAAACGTTTATCCAATATACTCCATCTTATGTAATCTTGCTTCTTAAGTTACTTGTGGACCCGATGAAACAAAAACAAAACCATGAACAATTTGACTACCATGGCTAGGGAAAACTCGCAGCAATATGGATCTAAACTCAAATGTGTACAAAAACCTGGCCATGATTTGATAAAATAACTAGAACTAGTACTCCCTCCGTAAACTAATATAAGAGCCGTATTTTCAGCATTGGGTGATCGCAAGTATTGTGGTCCAAACACTGTCACCACTGCCCTGCAGAACTTGTAGAAACACTCAATGGTCGTGGACTCGGCCATGCGCCCATAGTCGTTGAGTGAATCACCGGGAGCTCTGTATGCAAGCATCCCCATAGCTGTCGTGCACTTCTGGATTGAGGTGAATCCAAGTGTGCCAGTGCAATCCTTCTTGCACTTGAAGTAGTTGTCGAACTCCCGAATGGAACTCACAATCCTGAGGAAAAGCTTTCGGCTCATTCGATAACGACGCCGAAATACTTTGTCAACGTGTAGTGAAGCGTCGGCGAAGTAGTCGGAGTAGAGCATGCAATAGCCTTCTAGTCGATGCCAGTTATTTGGTTTCAGCCGCCCCGGCGCCGAGCCACCTCGCCGCGGCTTTGCATTGCTCGCGAGCAGGCCGGCCAGGGCGGCGAGGACCATGAGATGCTCTTCGTCCTGGACGTCGGCATCGGCTTCCTCCTCCAGCAGCGCCCGAGCGCCTCCTCCTCGTCCGAGTCCATCGTCGAGCAGGCAAATCGCCAAACACCTGGCAGGCGTGGTGGGCACGCAGCAGCCGGTATCCCGCCCTGCGCGGCCGGAGCGCTGGAAAACTCGCCCAGGAAGGTGATGGAGAGGTCGCCGCGGCGAAACTCTTTCTCTTTTCCGGCGGGGAATGGCCTATCTAGAGGTGGTGGGCGGCG